CTACATTTAAACAAGAGTGTTAAAAGATTGTTAAAGTTAAACTAACACAATTGCAGTGTGAATTGTCCTAGTCTCATTCTAATCTACTGGTGTCACTTTCATTTAATCAGAAAAAAACTATGGGCCAAAGTCAGTGTTATTTCCAATGCCCTAACATTCTTTGTTCACATTGGATTTTAAGCCAATATCAATCTAAAATAGTTACAAAAAGATATATTTAAGTATTTTCAATCAATTAATTCACTCACCAGTGGGCTAGTTTAGCAAACTTGACTGAAAACAAGTCGCCTTTAAAGTTATTAAATCACCTTTTATGTTAAATGGATAAAAACCTTTTGTTATTGCTGAAAATTTTCTTGAATGTACCATAACTCTGGTAAAACAAACAAACAAACAAAAAACTTACAAATACAAATCCTACTTGGAAACTTACTGTGGACTTGTTATTTAGCTGAAAGACATATCAACATTTAAAACATTAATCCTATATTTTCTACTTTATTGAAAATTATTTTCTAAATCACTACTTAAATTAACACAGAAAAGAAGCCTCTCTGGCATGGATTCATATTTATAGGCTGCATTATAAAAAAGTTTTTTTAAATCCGTACCTCAGGATATTTTTCCAGTTATCTTCAGATAGAGTGAGAGGGAGGGAGAGGGAAAGAGGCAGGGAGGGAGGAAGAGAGGAGAGAGAGGGAGGGAGAGAAAGAGAGAGACAGAAAGATTGATGTGAGAGACACATCGATTGCTTGCCTCACGTACAACCCCAACCAGGACCAGGTGCCAAACCGCAACCGAGGTACTTGCCCTTGACTGGAATCGAATCGCGATTCTTCCAGTCTGCAGGCAGAGACTCTAACCGTGAGCCAAACCAGCCAGGGCGATGCATTCAAATTGTTCCTTACTTAAGTTGTACTATAAGCAAATAGGCTCCAAATAACACAGAAAACAGTGCTATGTTAGCTAGTTACAGAAGAGGTATGAATACTAATCATTCTGGTTTGCCTGGAACTTTCCCAGATTTAGCACTAAAGGTTCCACATCCTCGGAAACCCTTCAGTCCCAAGTAAACCAGGGTACTGATGCCACCAAGACATTAAGAAAAAGGGTGGGGCCCTGGCCAGTTTAGTTCAGTGGTTAGAACGGCGGCACACTGACCAGAGAGTCCTGGGTTCGGTTCCCTAAGGGCCTGTACCTCAGTTACAGTTTGTCCCCAGCCCCGGTTGGGGTTGTGTGGGTGGCAGTCACTCGATGTGTCTCTCTCACATCGATGTTTCTCTTTCTCTCATCCTCCCTCTCTCCCTCCAGCTCTATCTGAAGATAAATGCAAAAAAATAAAAGAAAAGAAAGAAAAGGGGTGCGGGGGTAGTATTTTCACAGTTCTGCACTGGAGAAATATTTTGTAACTCCCTGCTAGGGCTGCCAGATTAACTGTGTAGGTCCAGCAATCTTCCTGGAACATGGATCCACATTTTTAAAAAGAGCCTGCCAGACCCAAACCTATCAACTAATACCCACTAACAGTGAGCCACATGTAAACAAAGGCTGCTGCTTTATGAAACTTAGTATAATTACCCATCCAGCCCATAGTGCACACATCTCTCTAGTTTCACAGCCGGAATTAGTCCTGGAAGAACAATCCTGTTGCTGTGAAGCGGGTATGTAAGGAGTCCTAGGCCCAGGATCAAGTCAGCCTCATTGTTGTCAACTCTCACTTTATAAGCCATTCCTAGTAACTGGACTCTCTTCTTCTTACTAGGGATCTAACCTCTCTCTTAAAATCCATTTTCAGCCTGGCCAGTGTGGCTCACAAATTGAACGTTGACCCATGCACCAAGAAGTCACAGGTTTGATTCCCAGTCAGGGCACATGCCCAGGTTGTGGGCCAAATCCCCAGCTGGGGGGCATGCAGGAGGTGGCCAATCGATGTTCTCTCTCATAGATGTTTCTATTTCTCTCTCCCTCTCCCTTCCTCTCTCTCTAAAATCAATAAAGAAAAAAAAATTTTTTAAATCCAATTTCAAAAATCAGATACTTTGCCTTTGTGACCATAAAAGGTAACAAAGTTTCTCTAACACTAGAGCTATGCAAGGCTTCTCTCTATTTTCCTAGGGCCTAAAATAATGCCCTTGAAACTTTTTTCCTTTCATTTCTAAAATGGCTGCCATCCACTAGACTGCCTTCACTATTTTGCCAACATGCTGAAACACCCATCTTCCACTCATTATTTGGGCTCCCTGATGCCAAATCACCATCTATTTATTGCCTATTTCCACACTCCTCTAATAGTCCACCTGCCTGCCCAGATTTCTTCCTAGAACCACTAAAGGACACTTTTGGATCACCTGAAGGATTCTGGCAGACTTGATTAGACACTAAACTCCAAAAATGCACCCTCCCTGTTATAGACTACCCAAATTGAGCCCTAGGACTAATACCTAGAATATATTTCTAGTGGCTCTCAATTCCTGGAGAAAAAACTGAAGGAATTAGGGGCATGAATGAGGAATTTAAATCTCTTCTTCCAAATAAAAGTTGTGACTTCTGAAGAGAAAGGGGACTATGGGAAATGAACATGTGACTAGAAACAAGGTGAGAACAAAAATTGGTTTTTAGACCACTGTTTCAAGAAACCAATGTTCACAAAACCAGGAACATGTCTGAAGTATTAAACTAATGAAGAAATCTTTGAAATTAAATTTGGAGAGAGGAGAAAAATGTATACCTTTAAAAATCTTTTTATTATGAAAAATTTTAAACATATAGACACTATAATGAAGTTCCACAATCATTCAGCCCCAGGAATCATTAATATGTTGCTATATCTGCCTCACCTATATTTTTCCCTCTGCTGAAGTAAAATGAAGAATTTTAAAAATAGGATACTAAGGCAGAATATGCAAAGTGTCATAGTAAAATAAGTTTCAGGAGAAAAATAACAAGAGAAAAAGAGAGTAGGGAACAATATTTATAGATTTAGATGGTTATCTACCAAAGCAAAATATGTGTTAATAAACAGCTAAAATATAAATTTTAGGATTTAAAAAAATCTCCTTTTAGTATATATCGGGAACTCGACTCCAAAATGTCAATAGAAGCCATGAAAAAAAATGTATAGACATTTCTATTAGTTTATAAGCAATCTGATATATGGTAAATTATGATGGTTTCACAAAAATGATAAATTTACTGAAATATGAAGAATCAAAATTAAGTTTGATAATGCTCTATTATGGAAATAAATTGAAAACAAAACTTTTATTTCCAAGCAGTTTCCATAAGTACTTGGGAATTCTTGAAAGCCTAAAAACTTAGCTTATTAATTATTTAAATGAGTTTTTCTCTAGAACATGTACTGTAAGCATATAACTACTTGAACTGAGTAATTTCATAAACTAGCATAGATCATTAGTATAAGAAATGACAAGGCCATAAATATATAATTAATGGGAATCTACCATTAGAAATCATTTTTCATGACTTTGGGTCTAAAGCACTTTCCATTATACCCTGGTACTTCTTCTAAATAGATTTACTAAAATGACATAACCAAAGTAAGTCTAGCAAAAACGAACAGAACTTTGGGGTAATAGTGCAAATTATTTATATTTTCAATTATATATCAAACTGTAATTGAAAAAATATGTTAATTATATATCTCAATTCCCCTTGTAATATTACACATTTTTTAAAAATACTCCTTTTTGAAACGTTGTACTTAAAATAGAAAGTTGTCGATGGGAAATCTTGGTTCCTTCCCTTGCTGTGCCACTAACTAGAACTGTGATCTTAGACAAGTTGGTTTTTCAATTTTAACTTCATTAAACCTCAGTTTCTCATCTGTAAAAATGGGAATACAAGCAATATTATTAGTTAACATTACTAGCCACTGGCTATTTGCCACATACTAGGTCAAACAGCATGCATAGTGTGCATAGCAGGTACTTCTTGCAACAACTGCAGGGGGTGTGTACTTTCTCCATTTACAAAAGAAAAACTAAGGTATCTGATGCACGGTGCAAATTAATATATTCAGCAACACAAAATAAATGGCAGAATTAAGATTTAAACCCAAGCAGTCTCACGGCAGAAGAGGCTGTGTGTTTGGCTACTGTCTCCTGACTGCCTTCCCAGCAGTGAGAGCTTCCAGGAAAGTACAGTGCAATGCTGTGCTAAGCCTCGGAGGCAATACCTTAAAAAGTGAATTTATTCTCCCCTTCGCCTTGTCTTTCTCCTTGTGGAAATATGTTAAAAAGGGACAACAGGTAGGCATTCTCCTGAAATGCCTCATCAAAAAGTTTGAGCTTCTTGGGTCTAACGATTAAGTTCTAAAAAGCACCGCCAACAGCAGGCAGGAACTGGGGGCGATTACAGGGCGCGTCTACGCAGGGCCCTTATTTAAACCGCGCCCCGCAGCTCCGGGGCGACCCAGGGAAAGCAGGGCCGGGGGAGGGAGGGCGGCCCCAGCAGCTGGGCGACGGAGTTCACGCCCCAGCGCGGCGGACGGCGAGGCCCGCCTGCCATCTGGAGCTCCGGCGTCAACAGGTCTCCTTTCGTATCGGGCCCGGGCTCTCTACACGCGCCCTGAAACTTCGGGACGGGCTCGCGCGTGCCCCGCGTCCGCCTCCCTCGGCTCGGGTCGGCGTGGAGACCCGGGGCGCGCGCACGCACGAGGGCTCCCGCAGCCCCCCTAGCCCGGCCCAGCTCCCCGCTCGCGGCCGCCGCCCCTCCGGCTCCCGGACCGCAGGCGCCCGAGGGCGGGGCTGCCGCCGGCCCTGGCGGCTCAACTGGGGGCATTTCGAGGGCTGAGGCACCGGGAGGGGCGTGCTCCGGCCCGCCCGGCGCGCCCCGCTCCGGCCCGGCCCCGGCGGAGCCCGAGCTGAGGCCTGGAGTCCCGCGGCCGCCTCGGGCCTGCGCTCAGCCCGGCCTCTTGGGCCGCCATGAGGCGAGAGAGGAGGAGCTGGCGGCTGCGCCGCTCCCGGCTCCCGGCTCCTTACCGCTTCACCACGCCGGTTTTGATCTTGATTTGTCTCACGCGAGGATCGGCCATGGTCCCTCGAGCGCCGCGGGAAGGAGGGGCGGAGAGCCGGGGTAACCGTGCAGCGGGAGCGCGCGGAGGAGGCGGTCGCGTCGGCGAAGCCACGGCGCCCGCGCGCATGCGCAGACCCCGGCGCCCCGGGCACCCGGGGGCCGGGGGCTCCGGGCCCCGGGAGGGTCGCTCTTCGCTGCCGCCGGCCCAGGCCGCCACCCAGTGCTCCCCTCGCGGAATCTGCCTTCGTCTCTCGGACAGCCCTCCTTTTAGTGTGGACACAACTTATACTTTTCGCGGTCGCCGCAGCCTGGGCGTGTTGGGAAACTTCAGCATCTCCCCTAGAGACGGGTTTGGCGGTGACACTGCTTTGCGAGGTTATCCGCTTAATGGGCCGAGTGACCTAAAAATCGTACTAAAGATATTTTCGGAGTCATTATGTGGTATCAAATGGGCCAAAGCGATGCGTCTTTAATAAAATAAACTTCCATTATGTACGCAGTCAAGAAAATGCTTAAATATTCAACTTACGAAAACGCGTGTGGCACACAAAAGCTTGGACCTGGTAGTCAAACCAACTGATATTCAGGGTTCCCCCCTTTAACAGCTAGGTGACAGTGGGCATGTGAGCTACCTAACCTCCCTGCTGAGCCTATTGCCTTGTAGGCAAAACGGATATGACAATGCCCACTTTACAGAGTAGAAAGGAAGATTAAAGCTCAAAGTACTTAATAACTTTAGGGCATTGTTTTCTATTTTTTAAAAAATGCGTATGTTGCATAAAATGAGACGCTGCATCCCTTCCTGATGGAGTTCCCCAAGGAAGGCAGGACATCTACCTGACTATCTTTTCCTTTCCCTATACCTAATTACTCATTCTGGCTTTCAGGCCAAGTTCTGGAACACCCTTCCACCCTGCCAGTCCAAGTCCCTTATTTTAAATCCAGGATCAAAACCCACCTTCTGGAGAAAATCTACCATGACAGACCCCCTGCCTATTCAATGTTCCCTGGGTGCTTTGGAGTCACTTAATATTACTTTTTATTTTTGGTATATTCCTTTTAACAACTATTGTTTGAGTCCTTCACAAGGGTGTGCTTGCTCATGCTCCTAGTTGGATTATAAACATCTTTAGAGGCAAGAATCTTGTCTTCCATAAATCTTCCTCCCCTAATCTCCACCAGTGTTCTGTACAGAGCAGGTGCTAAATTCAGTAACTATTGTCATCCAAGCCGCTGGCACACTGAAATACAATTTCAAGTGACACAGCAGAGCAATAAAATACTGGGGCAGGGGGATGAGTGGAATCAAAACAATAACCCAGCAGATTCACCAAAGCAAAATGCTACAATTAGAAATCCAGTAGTTCATTAATATAAAGTTACTGGTCAGTCTCATAAGGCAAAGAAACAACAGCAGTCAAACCCCAAATCAAAAGATTGTGCAGCTAGGGTTCTTGTTACTGTAAAGATCTTTCTTTAGTCGGGCAACAAAAGCCATGTAACTTCATATTTTCCTTTTTGCCTCGGTTTCCAGAACTTCAGAGCTCAGTTTGGGGCTGATTTGCAGGAGTTTCCCTCAGACTAGGTTTTCTCTATTGTAAATTCCTACTATCTCCCCCAACCCTCAATTCTACTTCCACCCTTTTGCCCTTTTTTTCTTTGTTTTAATGATTTTGTATCTATGACTTTCCAGGAAACCAGTAATGAATAAATGTAACACTCCAGCCACAACACCTCTGCTGCTGCTGTTGCTGCTGCTGCTATGTATGCAGGCCCATGCCCAGGCCTTCAAGGACAATATGTTTATCCGTGTCTGTGTGTACGGATATTGTATGCTTGAGGTTATAAGTTAAGATCGTGGAGTTTGGCCCCACCCCTAAGGATAGGGGATCAGGTGGAATTGTTCCCAGTGTCAGGAGTTTACAGTAGTTGTAAAGAGCTTTAACTTTGGGGCCCAACTGTCTAGGGTCACATCCTAACTCTTCTTCTTACTAACTGTAAACGTGGACAAGTTACTAATGTATTTATGTGCCAGCGTCTTCATCTGTAAAAGATGGGTTATAATAATAATAGTACCTATTTCATAAGCTTGTTATAAAGCTGAAATGAGTTAATATTTGTAAAGTGGTTAGGACAATGTTGGTACTTATTAAGACCCATACGAAGTGTTCATTAAATAAATAAGTCACCTTGGAAGGAGGTCCTAAGTAGGAAACTAAGAACACAGTAGGACACGCATTGAAATGAATACCAAACTGTACATGTTATTATTAGTAAGATCATACTGAATTCATGTTTGACTATTTACTTTGTATAAAAAGGACCCATGTTGGACTCACCAGTGTATCCCCATACATAGCATTGCCGGGCACATCATAGCTATTCAATAAATATTTATTGAATGAGTGAATGCTGCTTTAAGACTCCTTTTTTTTTTTTGCCCTGGCCAGTTTGGCTCAGTGGCTAGAACTCCGGCCTATGGACCAATGAGTCGCGGATTTGATTCCAGTCAAGGAAACCTACCTCAGTCAAGGGCACCTACCTTGGTTGCATTTGCAGTTCTTCCCGGGCCCTGGTCAGGTTGTGCAGGAGACAACCAGTCAATGAGTCCCTCTCACACTAATGTTTATCTCTCTCCCTCCCTCTCACTCTAAAGATAAATAGGAAAAAAAATGTCCTCAGGTAAGGATCGAAAAAATAAAACTCCTTTTTTCCCCATTTAATAATGTCACAGAACCTTCCCATTTCAGCAAATGAGGTACTAAAATCATCTGAAACATCCCCTCCTTCACACACACACACACTCACCATCTTTCTCCAGGCCTTGCTCCTTTGGATCTGGACTTTGAGGAGGTAGACCTTTCTTGTTACTAGAGTACTAACCATAGGAGTACTAACCGAGAAAGTACTAACCATAGGAAGGTTAGTACTAATCTAAGGCATTTGAACTAGAAACTATGTAAACTGCATTTCTCACTATTTGGTACCCTTTTGCTCTGTTATCCCTAAACCTTAATTGAGTTCTTTTTAAATATTCCAGCATGGGCCTGGGTCAAACTCTAAGAAAGAATCTGTAGGGAACTCTATAAGATAAGTTAATCAACATTTGATGAGAGTTGAAGAGATCCCCAGGATTGGGGGAATCTGGCAGAACAAGAGGAAAGTCTAGCCATCTCCTGCCTGAGTAGCAATTCTTCCATTGCTAATTTTGGAGGGTTTGGGTACTATTTTATTTAAAAATATTGCAGATTCCCTTACAAATACAAATTGTTTTTCCCACACTCTTACAGGGCTATGAACTCAGTATCACGATCCCTTCATACCAGTCTTCCCCAATTGACTCCAAGCTCCAAAAGATTACAGACCACATTATATGTATCTTTGTCTCTCCAGCACCAAGCTTCAGTTATGCCTGGTGCCTAGCAGATGCACAGTATGTATTTGCTGAGTTAGAGAAAAGACAAATATGGCACTGAGATAGATTTCTAACTTTGAAGAAAACATCCTAGACGGAACTCTAAGGTAGCCAGCATGCCACAAGACTTCTGTGGGGCCCGTGTGCAGTTGTTCTAATGTATAGTACTTCTGTTTTCATAAAACTAGATGTCCAGTTGGAGAAGACACTGCTGGAGAGATTAGATAAATAAAGAAGTACTGTTAATTAAAGTATATTTTTGTGAATGTCTCTGATAATTACCTCTAGGTGCTTGAGACTTGAAATAGTTCCTTCATCATTAGGAAGTATACCTCTTCTGAAGAGATTCAGAAGATCCCCTTCCTTTCCTGCCACTTGTGCATCTTTTCAAATTCTCTTGGCCTTCCCTCTTATTGGAGCCACTGCAGTGGCAAATTCAGGCTTTGACCAGCATTGCATAAGTACCTTCTGGGCCATGAGCCCCACCGACAGAAGACAGGCATGGGAAACTGCTTGGTACACATGTATGCACAATCTAGTAGTGCAGGGGAACAGGAGCCTATGGATCAATGCTCCACCTTTTCATTCTCAGGCAGCAGGCAGTTTTGAGACACATTTCATAAGACTCTTCAGATGGCCCCGTAGAATCAGGCATCAATCACCTGTAGCAATGGAAAACTCAATAATCCACGCCTGCATTTGCTTTTCTTCTTTCCCTGTTTCATTTATCCATTCCTCACTCCTGGCCTCCAGAATCGCTTTCCAAGTAAGTGGACTATTAATATACTGCATTTGGGAATACTGTTCTGACTCATTAATCAAGTGATTCGGAAGACCGCTAGCTTTGAGTGGGGCACAGAGCAAGAATGGGCTCTGCATCAGGACGAGGCTGCAGTGGAAGCTTCCCTGCTATTCAGGCCACCTGACCAAGTAGATCCAATGATGCTGATATACCTGGTGGATAAGGATTCTGGTGTGGAGTCTCTGGTGAACCCTGAGAGAAGAGTAGTATACAGGCCATGCCTTCTGTGAGGTAAAGTCAACATTAATTTCTTACCATTAGAATTAATCACTGTTTAAAGTCTTCCTCATACTCTACTTATAAACTGTTAGTGGTATTTATGGTAGACACTATTAACTGGCTTACCCAGCATTCATTCCCCAAACCCTCTTCTGTACCTGCTTCTATTATTGCAGGACTTACTTTTTCAACCTCCCTTGACGCTAGAGGTGGCCAGGTGCACAATTCTGGGCAAATAGATTCAGGTGGAGATATGTAGGTAGTTGCGGAAAATGCTTTGGATTTCTTGATAAAAGGGACAAATACAGGGAACTGCCCCTTTCCTACGTCTTTCATGAAAGTAAATGGAATAACTGGAATGAAAACATCCATCTTTCAACCATGAAGGAAAGACAAACAGTTCAGAGAGAGCAGTCCTGACATCCCTGAGCTGTTGAACTGAAACAAGCAGCTGTCTCTAGTCATCTTATGTGAGGAAAACAAATCCTTAGTTATTTAAGCTACTGTTTATGAGATTTCTGTTATTAGCAGCCAACGGGTTTTCTAACGGATACGGACTCCACTAGAGCTCCATGAGTACGTCTCTTGGCTGAGGAGAGGAGACGATATAGCCATTGGATCTTTGGAAGAAAGATTCCTATGAAAACAAAAA